TTTTTAAATATTTCTTGAAGGTCCTTCTTCTTAAGATCCTCAGTATATCAGTGCTATGCTAAGCAAGGTTCTTTAAAAGTTTCTGTGTTTACTGCTGTTATTTTCACTTGATGTTATTTATACCTTTTATTTTTCATTTTTCTCATATTAAACTGCAATGGGTTCTCTGTTTTAAATTTAAAAGGGAAGGAGTATAAGAAATGCATTCATTGTTATTTTTTTTTAATGAAACGACCAAAAAGCAGTGCCCAAGTTTATTTGAGAAAGTAAAAGTAAAGAGTGAGGGAGAAACTTGCTTTGTAGAGTGAGCTTGAGCCGAGTAAAAGGAGAAAAGGCAATAAAAGGACAACCTGGAGAAAGCAGGACAGGCTACCATGAAGAAAATCAATGATAGCCTTTTTCTTTTAACTAGAGAATTCATTGGTTTTGACAGCCCAGTAATAATGAAAATATTCCAAATGTTCTTTATCGCCTTTGCAAGTTCTAGTACAGAGATCACCACTGGTGGCCACACATATGTAGCCCATCTAGGGATTTTTTTTTTTGGTACCAGGGATCGAACTCGAGTCCTTGCGCTTGCGCAGCACGTGGCGAAATCACTGAGTTAAATCCCCGGCCCCTCTAGGGATTATTTTAAAAGGCAACATACTGCCAAGTGTGGTGGTGCATGTATATAATCCTAGCACTTGGGAGGCTGAGGCAGGAGGCCAGAAATTCAAGATCAGCCTGGGCTACATAGTGAGTTCAGGGCCATCCTGAACTAAAGCAAGACCATGTGTCATCCCCCACAAAGCAGTGTAATTAGGTAAATTTTGTCCCAATACAGGAACACTAGCATCTACCATGTATACATGTCCTGGCATTAATGCTACCTTCTTTTTTTTTTTTTTTTGATACCAGGGATCGAACTTGGGTCCTTGAGCTTGCAGGGCAGGCGGCAGAACCACTGAGCTAAATCCCTAGCCTAATGCTACCTTCCTGACCTCTTGCTCTTAGGTGATGATTCTCAAACTTTAGTATGTATGCAAGTATCACCTGGAGAATATTTTAAAACTCCAGCCCTCTGGAATTGTTGATCTCACAGGTTTGGGGTGGGGCCAGAATTTGCATTTCTACAAATTTTCAGATAAAGTTGATACTGCTAGTCCTGAGATAGAGCTTTGAGAAGGCGTACTGTAGAAGTTATTCCAAAAGAGTAATCCATTACTTCCAAGCTAATTGCATGCAGCATTTCACAGCTGGCCCTGACGACATCAATCCTCAGTGACTGAGTTTTCTGTGTTTCAGGATGCAAATGTGAAGCTCATCAGGGAACTCAGGGAAGAGATCAGGAGGCTGAAAGCCATGCTGCTGAGCTTTGGGCTGGTATATGGGCAACCAGGATGTTTCCATATTTAAATAGAGTTCTCCTCTTGAGCTCCTTTTTTCTGCAAGCATCTGGTCCTGCTGCACTCTGTCTTTCCAGTTGACACTCATGGAGCAGAGACAGAAGGGGCATTACTCTGCTATCTCTAGGTGGCCTCAAGTGGGTCAGGGATCCTCTCACTGTCTCATCTCTCGTCCAGAGGCCTCTTGCTCTGTGTAGACATACATGGGCAAAAAGGTCCTTGAGGAAAATTGCTTGAATTCACCATTGTACTAATATGAGCCCAAATATAGCACTTAGGCTCCTGATTTATTTCTGATTTTAATAACAAAGTCTTTATGTTTTATCCTCTTTCACAAATGTAAGGGTGGGGCCTCCCTGCATTCATTCCAGGAAGACATCAAAGCACATCTCTCTGTCTTTCTGTTTTTTTAGAGAAACTTCAGTTCCTTAAATGACGAAGAGGATGAAAATCTGAAGGACCTCCTTCTCCAAAATGAATTAAAGGTAGGTATGTTGGGTGGACTGGTTCTACTTTATTTCACCCTGATCTCCCTCCATTCATTCTTCTTGGGCTAGGGCTGCTCCCTTATCGGGAAGAGAGGTTATCTAGTTTAAAACTTGGCCATCTTTTCCTCCATTGAGTCTTGAGTAGGGGATGTATTTGCTTTAAGAGCTGGTAAATAGGTCTCTGGTGTTCTGTTTTATTCTCTCGGGTTCATGATAACTCCTTTTGGATAGTGCTGATGGGCTAGAAAAAAATCTATTTTCCAGTCAGTAAGTCAGTCAGCCAACATGTGTTCATTGATTGAGCACCAGATATATGCTTAATGTGGCTCTGCAAGAGATGCCACGGAGCCTTTGTTCTCACACGGCTCACAGTCTAGTGGGATACACTTACATAGAAGGGTGTATTTTGTCAAGCATGTGATTTGGAGAGTTTCAGGAAGGAAGAAGTCACTGTAGCTTGGGGTTTTCAGAACTGATACCATAAGGTAGAGCTAGAAGTCAGAGAATTGACCTTGAAGGATTGATACAGTTGTCAGTTAAAAGGGGCAAGGCATTTTGAGTGAGAGAGAGAAAACACATGCTAAGTCACATACCTAGGAGAGGCCCTGTGGAAGTGCAGGCTTGGGGAAGATGGTAGACAGAAGACGGTAGATAGGTGTTTGTAGTGGAGAGTCATGGAGGGAAGATAAGGCCAACTTAGAAGGGTGAACTTGATGTGAACAGGGTAATCAGCTTATTGATCAGATTGGTGGCATATATAGCAAAGACATGTAGTGAGGAAATAATAGGGCAGTTGTATGTAGGATGGATTGAAAAGAATGAAGTATAGGGCTGGGGATTTAGCTCAGTGGTTTTGCTGCCTGCTGCGCAAGCTCAAGGACCCAAGTTCAATCCCCGGTACCAAAAAAAAAAAGAATGAAGTCTAGAAGCACAAAGACCCACCAGGAAAGAGCATGCTGTCAGGGCCCAGGGAGGGTGAGGACAGAGCATTTTGGAAAAGTAGAATCAGTGATGACTTTCAGAGACACTTCGAAAGAAGAAAGGGCAAAAAAAAAAACAAAACCAAAAAAACAAAGAAATGGCAGTTACGTATTACTTTAGTGAGAGGTTAGAGTTAGACCCCACAACCAAATGTTCCAATTTTCAGTATTCTGTTGTATCATTCTTATATGTTAATAGAGTATCCTGGCCATGCCAGCATTTTGTTACCGTCACTGAACTTTAGAACTGCATCACACATCCAGAAGTTTTTCAGAAATTCTTCGTTTAGCCATATGTTGAGTTTTGGTTCAGAAAATACTATCTTTCTTTCTTTCTTTTTTTGGTACTGGGGATCGAACTCAGGTCCTTGCTCTTGCGCAGCAGGCAGCGAAATCACTGAGCTAAATCCCCGGCCCCAATACTATCTTTCTATAATAGAGATGTAGTAGAAAGGTAGAAATCAGCCCTTTACAGGTACTCTATAGTTTAATTGATTTTCAGAATTCAGTTCAATAATTGCAGTGTTTAAATAATGTTCTAGAGTATGTGAAGTATTTGAACCTAAACTTGGCATAATTTTTTCCCAGAATATTCCCTTTATGAGAGAGCTGCTTACCTGAATTCAGTCTCTTTTTTTGAACTTCTTCAGTTCTTCCATTCCCAGGATAAGCTTCCTGCCTACTCATCAGTTCCCCAAAAAGAAGGAAAGAGACCTTACGTTCAGCATGTTCATTCATGTCCCTCAGGTGTTCTCAGCTTTAAAGGCCTCTATGCCTCAGTATATTTAGGTTTGTTCCTAGTACCTGGTAAACATTTATTTTTTATTATTACATGGTTGTCAGACAAGTTTCATAGAGTCTTCATTCTGATGGGAGGATGCTTGTCAGTACATTATGCATCTTTGAGCCATATGCAAACTTACAACTCAAGGAACTACATGTTGGGAACAGGGTGTTAGATCATAAGGAGAATCCCATATATGGATCACATAGAAGTAAATGGGGAAAGGGAAATTATAAACATAGATGTTGGAGTAATATACCAATTAATTGTTTATTTTTATTTTTTGAGACAGGGTCTCTCTATGTACTTCAGACTGACCTTGAACTTACTACATAGCCCAGGCTGGCCTCGAATTCACAGTGATCCTCCTGCCTCAGCCTCCCAAGTGCTGGGATTACAGGCATGTGCCACCATGTCCAGCAGCAATTAATTTTTTTTTTTTTTGGTATCAGGGATCAAAATTGGGTTCTTATGCTTTCGAGACAGGCGGCATAACCACTGAGCTAAATCCCTGGCCCAGGAATTAAATTTTTTTTTTTTTTTTTTTTGGTGGTACTGGGGATTCAACTTCGGTCCTTGCGCTTGTGAGGCAGGTGGCAGAACTGCTGAGCTAAATCCCCGGCCCAGCAATTAATTTTTTTAAAACAAAGAATAACGTTTAGTTTTTTTCTAGTTAGAACAGTACTTACTGCAGAAAACTTTAAAAATAGGATTTATTGTGGAAGCTTCTGTTTATAAAAGTTAACCATTGCTTATTACAGAAAACTTTAAAACCAGAGCTGGCAGTTGCAAAGGGTGTATAGGGCTCTGTGAGATTTTGAATAGTGACAGCAAGGATTATGAGAAAGTAACACCCTGGGCACACAGGTGATGGCGACCTCTGACCTCTCGTCTGCTCCACCCCCCGGGTGTCTAGATCCTCTCCTGTGCCCCTGCAGATGGACAAGCTGACCAAAGACGGGACCCAGAAGTGGCATGACTGGCAGGCCCTCATGGAGCATTACAGTTTGGATGTCGGCAGGAGCAGGGCTGGGGTGGTCATTGACTCCAGCCTGCCGCACCTGATGGCCTTGGAGGACGATGTGCTCAGTACGGGTGTTGTGCTCTATCACCTCAAGGTGCGGAGGCCGGTGCTCCTCTATCTTCCAGAGCCACATTCGTGTGAACTGAGACAGATCCACAGAGCGGCCTTCTGGTTTCCCCTCAGGAAACCCATCTTGCTGAATAATTGTGATATGTTTTGTTTTTGTATAAATGGAGTAGAAGACTGAAAATCAGAACAATCTTTTTTTATTTCAACAACTACTGTTGCTTTTTATTAATTTGCTTCTGTTCTCTGTGCCTTAATTTCCTCATTTTAAAATAAGAATGATAACTTTTTATGTGTCTTTTCTGGCTTTTGAAGCACAGAGGTACAGGCTTAGTGAAATCCTAATTTCAAAAGTACTGTTAGTGTAAACCAGGTGCAGTGACTTGTGCCTGTAGTTCCAGCTACTTGGGAGGCAGAGGCAAGAGGACCATTTGAACCCAGAAGTTCAAGGCCAGCCTGGGTAACATAAGACCATATTGCAGGGGAAAACAAAAACAAAACTCTCATAGTGCTCCTAAACCCTACAAATATAGGTTGCTCAAAGTCAGGGAAATTCAAAAAACTTGAAAGTTTTTTTCAACCCCCAAATCAACAAAAAATTCACCTCCCACTACTCCATCTGGAAAAGAAGCGGGGAGAAAGTAGATGAGCTTGAGCTTTGAGTTAAAGCATGAGGGAGGATCCAAAGAGCTGGCACAGGGCTGGCTGGACGGTGACATGCACTGTTCTAGAAAAGATGGAAGGAGGGCCAGGGATATAGCTCAGTGGCACCACGCCTGCCTCCCAAGCGCAAGGTCCTGAGTTCAACCCCCGGTACCAAAAAAAAAAAAAAAAAAGGAAAGAAAAGATAAGATAGAAAGAATGAGGTTAAGACCATCCAGACAAGACCAACTCACCTGACTTTTGTCACCTGGAGGGTTTTTTGGGGGAGAGGGGGTGCTTTGTTTTGTTTTTGAGACAGGCTCTCACTATGTAGTTGAAACTTGCCTTGAACTCACTATATAGCCCAGGTTGGCCTCGAACTCACAGTGTTCCTCCTGCTTCAACCTTCCAAGTGCTGGGATTATGGGTATGTACCACCATACCCAGCTTGGTTTGGTTTTTTGAGATAGAGTCTCACTATGTAGTTCAGTCTGGCCTTGAACTCACTGTGTAGCCCAGGCTGGCCTTGAACTCATAGTGATCCTCCTGCCTCAGCTTCCTGAGTACTGGGATTAGAGATGTGTACCACCACAGCTAGCTTAGGTCATCATTTTGAAGTGAAGCAGTATTAAGAGTTAATGACCCATGGTAGATAGTCTTATGCCCTGTTCTCATCAAATATGTCCTTCTGTGGGAAGACAGAGAATGGCAGAACATATTTCAAAATCCCTGGGCTCACTGAAAATCCAATTTACATTCTCATAATTGTCCCCAGATGATATTTAAAAAGACCAGAGAAAGAGTTGATGGGGGATAGGTAAGGCTGCCACTGTCCCTGGGGAAATTAGGTAGGCTTTGCCTGTGGGTGGTGCTTTAGCAAAACTCATCTGTGTCCTCAGGATGAGCCCTCGGGAAGATTGTTGGGTTGAACAGTTCAGACAGAAAGTTAAAGTAGCTTATTTTCTGGGACACTGGGCATAAACTGTCTGAGTTAAATGCCTTAGCTGTCTACTTTAATAGCAAATCTAAACACTGAAGCTGTAATCCTTCCATTAGGACCACAGGGACCATAGGGAGAGGTTGGGGATCAGGAGGGGACCAAGTGGATTAAAATGGTCAGTGAGTAGATCTGCTCTTTTGCTTGGATGTGGAGTGAGCAGAGGAAATTAGATGTTGAAACAGCAAAGCTTAGAGTTTGGCAGTGGGATGAGGCTCTGCCTTCTAGATTGAGACCCAAAGAGGAGTGAGAACACCACCTGAACTCAGGGTTGCTGATTTTCACTTAGGCAATGTGCAGAGAGGGTTTAATTGCTTCTTGGTACATTTCCAGTGGACCTGTGTGATGCAGTTTTAGTCTGGTTCTAATTCTGGTACTTCTGTATTTTATGTACCCATATTTTTACTTTTTTGTTTAGATCCTGGTTTAAGTAACAGTATAATAGCAATGGCCCAAGATTTTCTGTGTTTTTGTTTACTTTTTTCGCTTGGTCACTGACCTGGAACTGGTCCCTGGTGATTCTCTAGAAATGGTTTTCCCTTGAGTCACCTTGGGAAGCTCTTGGGTAGTAAGGGGCGGAAGGAACAATGGGCAGAGCACCAGGTGCTGCCATCCTTGTAATTGCCTTTGTGCCACTGACTCTCCCTGCATGACAAGGCAAGAGAAGCAATCATAGGTACTTCTTATCTGAGACATTATATCTCCTTTTTGGTTACTTTCTGCCCTGCACATCTAGACATTGTGATGTGCAGTGGCTTTTATTCTTTCAGGAGGAGTGTGCTCCACTGTCAGTGCTGAAAAGACTGGCTAAGTGTATGTAGGGAGGAGAGGCAAAGGGGCACACAGTAAGGTCAGGGCCTCACTCATTGCTTTAGGGTTCTCTCTTGTGTCCCAGTCTAGGGGCTAGTTAGGGGTAGCTGCAAGGACCTCTTTGCTCCTGCTGCTGACAGTGCAGCCTAGTAGAGAACTCTGGTTACTTTGAAAGCAAAATGCTGGGCAGGAGACAGGGTAAGGCTGAAAAGGCCTAGGCTTAGAATCCAGAGGGACATAAAGTTACAGCGCTTCTACTTAGTATGTGGGTTTATTCCACAGAAGGTTCAGATTCATTGTCTAGAGAGGCATAATACCTACATTTTACAGTTGGGTGTGGTGGCACAATCCTGTAATCTCAGCACTCAGGAGGCTGAATAACTGCGAGTTTGAGGCTGGCCCTCCTGGGATACATAGTGAGTGCAAGGCCAGCCTGAAGTACATAGTGAGAATTTGTCTTAAAACCAAACATAACAAACAAAAAACTCCATACATTTTAAGTTGTTAAAGAAAAGGTGATGGTTATAAAGCACTCAGCTTAATGCTTGGGACATATTGAATGTTATTCAGTAGGTGATAAAGATATATCTAACATTTGGCATTTTTGTTGCTTGTTGCTGCCTTCCCCAAGAGTCTTGAACAGATTTACCATAAACCAAGGGCCAAAAGGCCTTGTCTGCTACCAATTCAGTAATTTGTTTATAGTACTAACTCCAGTTTCCCCTGATTTCTTATGCTCTCTTCCAGTTCTCTTTGGTTCTAGAAGTGCTTTTCTCCTATTTGTGCTTTACCCTTCTTAGAGTCTCGTGTCTGTTAAACTTCATTCACTAACAAAGAAGATAACAATACTGAGTTTCCATAAATCTTCATAAAAAGGTCATCTTCTTGGGCCGGGGATTTAGCTCAGTATCACCATGCCTGCCTCGAAAGTGCAAGGTCATGAGTTCGATCCCTGGTACCAAAAAAGAAAAAAAAAAGGTCATCTTCTTGAGGTTTACTGGATCAAACTTTAGCCCCTTTAAAGGAAAGCTAGCCTGTACCCACTTCCTTGGAATAGAGTTTTTCTGACTGATGGTTGTGGCTCTTCATAGCTTAACTTCAGGCTATAGGACAGAAAGGAGTTTGCCAACACTTGTTAGGCTTTGCAGGTACCTGCTGTTGTGTTGTCTTATTTATTTGCCTCAGTCTTCTCAGAGGTTTCCTCGGCTACAGAGGAAGTAGGCAGAGGGTCAGAATAGCCTTTCCCAAAGTCAAGAAATGGTACAGGAAAGGCTGGGCTGGAACACTCCAGTGTGGGTTGTCCTTTGAGGGCAGAGCAGTGTCCCTTTGCATTCTTACTAAAATGGCTTTCTTTCTACCCCATAGGAGGGGACAACAAAAATAGGAAGGATTGACTCAGACCAGGAACAGGACATTGGTAAGTGACAGTGACTGTGGGTCTGGCACTTTGTGACAGTTATTTGTACCTAAAGTTTCTTCAGAGGACTCTGATGATGCTGAGAGGAGAAGAGCCTTTGAAGTATCAGGGGTCTGCTTCTCTTTCTGCTGCAAGACTTTTGGTCTGGGATATGGACAGAGGAGAGCAGCACTGTGGGAGGATTTCAGCTCGGGTGGTTTCAGGTGGGGTTCTTTCTTTCTTGTTATGATGGGAGAGCTTCCAGATTTTGGATTCTTTTTTGTTTGGTTGGTTTTGGGTGTGGTTTTGGTTTTTTAAGATGCTATGTAATACATGCTGGCCTTGAGCTGCATAGCTCAGACTGGCTTTGAACTCATAGTGATCTTCCTCCCGAGTGCTGGGATTACAGATGTGTGCCCCCTCACCCAACTCAGATGTTGGATTCTGATCTCAGTAGAAGAATGGAGGATGTGTACCCTGAATTGTCCTCCCTCTAAGTGCCCACCACCCCTTCTCTAGTCCTTCAGGGCCAGTGGATTGAGAGAGACCACTGCACAATCACCAGTACCTGTGGGGTGGTCACTCTCCGGCCTGCCCAGGGGGCACGTTGCACAGTCAATGGCCGTGAGGTCACTGCCTCTTGCCGTCTGACCCAAGGTAGGACTCTACAATGCTGTTTATAAGCAGGATGAAGGATGGACCAGCTCCAATCTCATGGGCCCAGAGAGCTCGGAGAAGCAGGCTTTAAAGATGGATCACCCAGCCTCTGCAGCTAGAGATCTGAAGATTTCCTAATGTAATCCTCTGCATTCCAGGACCAGAGTGGAGAAAATCCTCTGAAATCTGTTCCTATATATGTTACTGTGTCTTTAAGAAAGTCTCTGAGCCTCAGTTTCCTCATCTGTAAAATGGAGATTTGGGAGGACTGAAGGAACGCTACCCTTGTAGGGGTCTTAGCATCATACTTGGCACTTAGGACCCATCATCATTATTATTGTCACTACTGTTATTAATGTGCTCAACTTCTCTCTGCCCCTTGAAACTGAGCGTAGACTCCCTTTTTTCCATGAAGCTGTTTCTCACTACTCCCAGGCACTTGCTTTCTCTTAGAGTACAATGGCTCCTGATACATAATTATCAGGTATCTTAGGAACTCAGCCAAGGTGTGCCGACTAGATGAGGACATGAGTTTTGTCCACAGGACAGTACCCTGCAAAAAGCATATACTCAAAACATGATCTGCTGGCTGAATCCTCATCTGTCTCTGTGGTGCAGGAGCTGTCATAACCCTGGGGAAAGCACAGAAGTTTCGATTCAGCCACCCAGCAGAGGCTGCTGTCCTGCGGCGGCGGCGGCCGGTCAGTGTGTTTGTGGGTTCTGGGGTGCTGCTGGGCATGCTGTTTCTTTTTCTTTCTCTCCCTTCTCCTCCTCCTCCCATCCCTCTTCCTGCTCCTTCTCGTCCTCCTTTTCCTCTCACTCTCTCACTCTCTCATTTTTTGAGACAGAGTCTAGTCTGAGCTCTCCTTGAACTCATGCTCCTTCTGCCTCAGCCTCTTGAGTGGTGAGATTACAGGCGTGTGCTACCATGCCTGGCTCCTGCTTCTTTTTTAGGAGAGAAGCTTAAACTTTGCCATGTCTCATTGGCCTGGGGGTCATGGGGGCAGCCTCACTGTGCCTTCTTCTTGTTCCAGGTTGGAGAGGCCATTGGCAGCAGTGGCTCTTTGGAATGGTTAGACTTGGATGCAGATGTCACTGCCTCTCACTTGGGTCTCTGCCCTTTGCTTTGGAAGGAAAGGTGAGAAACAGCTGCTCACACTGATGTGAAGCCTCCTGGGTTGCTGCTCAGTCCAGTTCAGCACGAAAGAGTGAGGTGACTGGTGCAGCACCAGGGTCCAAGGGAGGCTGGCTGTGAGTCGACCTGGGCAGGTTATCTGAAGATGCAGGGCTGGCAGCTCAGTCTGCACTGTCTTGGCCCTCACTAGTTTCCTGCTTGGCATTTCAGTTCTCTCCGTCCCCGAAAGAAGCCTGTCATTTGACATTCCTTTGGCCGCTTTTCCCTGTCAGCAGTGTTAACTGAGCAGTATTGGTAGATGTCTTTGATGCTGCTTCTGAACTTACCTTTTTGAGTCTACTTGAAATTCTGGCCTGCCTGTGTGTCAGTCCATAGCATCTCAGTGAACCTCCAGCCTTTATGGCAACCTCTGAGGTATTAGGGATAAAACCAGGGGTATTGTACCACTGATCTGTATCCCAGTCCTTTTTTTTTTGGTACCGGGGATGAAACTCGGGACCTTGCACTTGAGATGCAGGTGGCAGAACCACCCAGTCCTTTTTATATTTTATTTTTTAGACAGCAGCTCACTAAATTGCCCAGGCAGTCCTCTAACTTGTGATCCTGCTGACCCAACTTCCCACATACCTGGGATCACAGGCCTTTGCTACCACATCCAGCTGGGTATTTAAAGATAATCTATGACTGAGGGCCCTTTATTTTTCCTTCTCATAACCCAAAATCCAGAAGTAGGCATAAGAGAAGTAGGAATAATATAAAAATATCTTCTGTCCTCTCACATGCACTTTATCCACATTGTGACTTTGAAGACATGAGTGGGAGTTTTATATTAATTGATAGTTACTGCTTTTCTACTTCATGGACATACTGCATCTGTTTCTACATAGAGTCCTGTCTCTAGGTCTAGATGCCTGGTGGTTTGGTTTTGGTGCTGGCATTTCCTGTGTAATTTCTTTCCTATAGAAAATTTGAGCAGGGGTCGCAGTGCCTGTGAGATAGATCACTGGTGTTGGGAGAGGGCCACATCCCTGTACATAGAGTTCTTGTTGGATTCTAGTAGCCCTTGGTCCATTCAGAGGTGGCCAGATGAAGACAGTTTCGGGTCTGACATCAATAGGAAGGGTATTGGATTGAGGAGAGGGAAGCATGGACATCAGCATGTTCTCGAAGGAGGGTTGCTTGGGATTGAAGAGCGCTACAACAGAGGTTAAGGGAGGGTGATCCTAGGGTTAAGTATCTGAGGGCCTTGGGTAAAGGGTAAGGTGGGAGGGGTGACATAGGATGGGGACATCAAGGCCAAGGTGGACTCAGGACTAGGTCTGGACCTCTTGTTTTATCATAATCTCCACCCCATCCTGTGTAGAGTAGTCTTCGAAAGATCCTGTTTTTGGTAAGGTTTCTATTAGACACATTGAAGATTGGTTTTCCCAGAGTTGGAGGTTGACAGAAAACAGCTCTGTGGTTTAAAGAACTGGGAATATGGAAGAGATCCATCGGAGCTGGACAGAAGTGGTTCACACATCCTGGCCCTACCACGTAAAAGCTGTGGGATCTTAGGCAGGTCACTGAACCTCTGAGCCTGCTTCCTCTTCTCTAAAGTAAGGGTAGTGCCATTTCTTTCCCAAGGATCTTGTTGATAAAGATTGAAAGAGCAGGGCCGAGGATTTGGCTCAGGGGTTCTGGCACCTGCCTTGCAAGCGCAAGGTCCTGAGTGCCATCCCCGGTACCAAAAAAATTTTAAAAAGAGTAAAAAAAGATTGAAAGAGCACGTGTGTGTGCACAGTGCTAACCCACTCCCTGTCCCCATTGCTGGGAGGCCGGAGGACAAGCTGCCAGGAGGGCTGCCTCCTTTCTGTGTCCTGTCCTCCCATCTCAGCCGACCTGTGCACCCCAGAGAACCCTGTGTTCTTCTGTCTTAATAAAGTCTCCTAAGGCTTTCCAGCCCCATGGCACTGACATGCCCTTTCAGTACACCAAGTGTGTGCCCTTTCAGAGGACACTGCCTTCTCCACTTGGCACCAGTTCTGGGAGTTCATAGGCTGGGCTTGGGCTGGTCCATAGCCAACTGTGTGCCAGCTTCTGGTCAGGTGGTGTGGTGTGGTGCTCAAGTCCATGATTGGGCAAAGGGACCAGGGAGAGGAACCTATGAGGGGAGAAAAATGCATGTTGTCAGCTGTGCTCCCAGTCTGGATTTGTAGCTGGGTCTCTATGAGAGTCTCTCCTGCTCTTAGGAGGGCTTGGCTCTGAAGCCTTCCCTTGTCCTAGGCTTTTCTCTCATTTTTCTCTTTGGAGGAGCATTTGTACAAGCTGGAGCTGACTCCAGGACCAGAGGAGATTGGCCAGTCCGCCCTCCTTTCTCCTTGTAGCAATGATCTGGGGCAGATTGGCATTTGTTCTTGAAAACTGTTGCCTATGTTCTTGGCATTTTCCCATTTGGACTTTTGGGGGCCTACCCTTAAATTCCCAGAATGTGGGAGATGCTGCCACTGCTTCTTCTGCCCCCACGCCTACCTTAGTGAGTAGACACTGCTGTGTTCTAGAGCTGCAGAAGCTGTCAGACTCTGAGGCAGCAGAGAGGGCTGTGAGAGTGGAGAGCAGAGGAGCACAGTGGAGTCCAGGCAAGCAGGTGGCTGGGCAGTAGGTAGGGTGTGCTGGAGCTGTTGAAAGTGAAGGCAGCCACCTGATAGAGACAGAGGTCTATGACTGTGGGTGATGAAGACTTGACCTTGCTGATGTATACAGAATGTAGCATGAAGCTGGTGTTTTCGTTTTCACTTGGTTTTGGGAACCTGACTGATGTACTTAGCAGGGGAGCCTTTCTGCCTGACCCTGTGGGTGTCTTGGCTGAGTGTGTTGTGTCTGTAGTGATCACCCCAGACAGCCTCTCCCTGCAGGTCCTGTTGCTGCTGTGAAGGGAACTGTTGTGGTTGCTGCCTTCCTAGGAGAAGGACGGGGGCATGGTCTTCTAAGGATTCGGGAGATAGACGGAGAAGGAAACCACACTCATAGGGAACTCAGAATACAGATTCCCCTCCCTGCCTCTTGCATCTGGTGGTCTGTGGGCCTAGCACCCTCTGAAAGGTTCATACTTGTAATTCAGCCATTTCTGTGGCCAAAGGTTGGAACAGCAGTATAGACATGATCTATCTATCTGTCTATAGATATGTATAAATGTATGTATAAAAGTTTTTTTTCTTTTTTTTTTTTTTGGTACCAGGGATAGAACTTGGGTCCTTGGGCTTGCAGGCCAGGCGACGGAACCACTGAGCTAAATCCCCGGCCCTAAAAGATTTTCCATTAACTGTTTTTCCTTTTTGTTTTTGTTTTTGTTTTTGTTTTTTGTTTTTGTTTTGAGGCAAAGACTCCCTATGTAGTCTAGGCTGGCCTTAAATTCACTGCGTAGTCTAGGCTGGCCTTGACCTCAAAGTGATCCTCCTGCCTCAGCCTTCCAAGTGCTAGGACTACAGGTGTGTGCCACTACACCCAGTGTTTTTCCTGTTTGTTTGGCATTAGCTGAATTTCTATTTTGGTTTTTATCCCTAATCTTTCTGCCTCACGTGTGATAGAGTGTACCTTTCCAGTGTTTGTATGTTCTACTGTGTGTCTATTGCCCATAGCAGTCATTATCAGTCCCCTACCACGGTTAGCACCATGGGCTGGAGACCAAGCCTTCAACATAGGGGCCTTTGGAGGACATTTGAGATCCAAACTCTAAAATAACTAAGAAAAAAAACCCCCTCAAACAAACAAAGAAGACATGGAGGTCTAAAAAGACTGAATCCCTTAGCACACAGTGCTCTCACTACTTGAGACCTGGTTCTAGCATCAGATCAATGACTGAACCTCTCTAAGCCTGCGAGTCATGACACTCTGGGAATGGAATAAGGGCTGAAAGCTGGGTAAAGCAGGCCCAGTTCTGGCCTTATGGTTAGTCTCTGGCAGATTCTGACTCGTCCCAACCACTCCCTTCCCATCCCCACCCTGGTATACCCATGCAGTTGGCTCCTTTATTTATCTGTATCCATCCATCCATCTCTCCATCCATCTGCCTATCTGTTGTCCATACTGTGCTGCCCAGCTTTTCTTGGATTTCTGGTCCAAGTGATCCTGCCTTAGCCTCCCAAGTAGCTGCGACTGCAGGCATGCACGACTGCCCTTGGCTTCATGCAGTTGCCTCCTGCAGAAGGCTGAACGACAGGGCTGGAAATGACCCGAAGTAAAGGATGTTGGAGGCTCTTGCATAGAAGACTGTGCACGACCTAGGCAAAGGCCAGCGTAGATAGCAGCTGCCAGTTCTCAGAGGAAGCCTCTGATTCATTTCTGGTGGCGGAGGAACCTGCTGTCGGAGTGAAGCATGACTACAATCTAGAGTTCTGTATAAATTGTTTATTATGGTCAATTTCAACACAAAATATCTACTACTCCTGGCTACTCTTTTTCAGTAATGTCCCTACTCACATTCCCCTACTTCTCCCCACTGGAACTAAGGAAACTTAGGAAGTATTTCACCAGTAAACACTACAGTACAAGTCTCTGAAAAGGTATGGAAAAATGTAATATTCTTAAGCCCTGTTCTAGGGCTCCTGCAGCTGGAACAGCCCTAAAGAGACAGAAGCTGAGTGTGGTGATGCATGCCTGTAATCTCAGTACTCGGGAGGCTGAGGCAGGAGGATCGCTGTGAGTTCAAGGCCAGCCTGGGTTACTGAGTGAGATTGTCTCAAACAACAAGAAACAAAAATAAAACAAAAATAAAAATAAAGGACAGAGCCTCTTGATTTAGCTAAAAATTTTGTGTCTTTTAAAAATATCTTAAGTTTCTTCATAATTTCCTTAATCAAAATGAATATGTGTTTCTGCTAAACCAGTACCGTAAGAACATGCTTTTACTATACTACAGTGTGACATCATGAGCTGCCTGTTGTGATAACATGCCTGTTTGTCCCAAGCTGCCAAAAGCCTGGTATGTCCTGTTGAATTCAGGGACTCTCTTAGAGGGACTTTAGATTACCACCAGTTTGTCCAGAGCTGGGTTTACTTGGGTAACCCTGCTGCCTTTTGTAATAGGAGAGTGCTGGAAAAGCAGAGTGACAAGGCCCACCAGCCACCAAGGGATGGAGAAACATCTCACAGAGCCCAGATTCAGCAACAGCAGTGCTGTGTGGACGATTTGAGGCAGCAGATCCAAGCAGGACAGATTAGAGTTGAGAAGGAGCTGGAACTGGACCAGGCTTGCAGCCGCCAGAAGATTGGAGATAGTAGGTGTCCTGCACCCTGTGAGGGTCCACCTCACCTTCAGACTTCTCACTTGCATGATCCCACAGCCTTCTGTGTTCTCTCCTTTGTTTTCTCTGTGATACGATGGAATCTTTAGCATTATGTGTTCTCTCCCTTCTTTTAGAGACTAGAGGTGCTTCCAAGGGGGCTGGAAGCAAGAAAGAAGATAACTCTTTTATGGCCCCACAGAATGACAGGCCTCCTCTCTCCTCCTTCCTGGCACACTTGTCCATGCTTTTCTACCTGCCCTAGCATGTGCCCACTGTTGGGCTGACGCTGGGTCTTTGTCCCCTTCATCTGTGGTAAGGAGGTCCTGAGCCTCCCCCACCACATAACCCCAGCCAGCCTTTTCACTCCACACAGGTCCAGCTCTGGCTGGCGACGCCTGAGTCCAGGGGGCCACAGGCAGGAAGGAAGGGCTGACTTTCTCTCTGGGGGTTTTGTTTCCCAGACCAGCAGTGGCTGTTTAGAGAAGAGACCTGGCTGGCCAGGTTACAGGAGCAGCAGCAGCAAGAAGACAACCTTGGAGCAGAGAAGGAATCTGAGGCCTCAGGGACACCTGATGCTTGGCTTCGGACAGATCCTGAGGCTCTACCACCCTCACTGGTCCGAAGCCACAAGAGGGTGGTGGAGCAGAACATCCCAAGACAAAAGGCCTCATTGCAGGTAGACAGATTCATCGAGAACCAGAGGCTGCTGGAGGCCCAGGCGAGAGTGGAGCAGCTCAGGGCATTGTGCTGGCTTCAGGATGACAGCACCCAGCAGTCCCCATGCTGGATCCCTTGCTTTGATGCCACAGCCCCAGAGCCTCCACGTGGAAGCAGATGGACACCTTGCAGTTCTCTGAGCTGCCAGAGGCTCTGCAGTGAGCACCTGCCCCCACTGCACAGGTGTGTCTGTGGTTGTCTCCTGGTAGCATGGGCTGGAGTTGGCAAGTTTGCTGTCCAGGCAGTGTTCTTTACTCTCCAGGGCCTCAGTTTCCTCAGTCTATGAAATGGAAAAATATGTTTATTCCACTGTTCCTCATCACTTTTCTCCCCTCTGGTTTCTCTTTTTTCCTCTGTGTATGTTTTAAGAGTCTGGCTCTTCTTTTCACTTTCTGCCTGCCTTACTTTTTAGTGACACCTTCTGAGTAAAGTTACCCATGTCACTTTTCATCTGCTCTTTAGACCCTAGCCATCTATATACATTTCCTTATGTGCCCTCCCACCACCTCTGCCTCCTGCATCAAAGGTGACTTCTTCCTTCTCCTGCTCTCCCCAACCTGCCACGGCAGGTCAGTTTCCTCCCCTTCCTCCTGCCCAGTGCAGTAGCAGGAGCTGTCTTTCTGACTCTCAGGCTCATGTTGAGGTTTCCTTCTTTCTCTTTTCTGAGGGGAGGGTGTCTTATATCCTAGACTGCTTAGGGCAAGGGCCGGGATCTTCTTCCTCTTTAGATTCTCAGGTCCTTGACCATAGGGACTCACAATCCTGGTGTTATGTTTGCTTACCTCTCTGGTCTTCAGGGTACTAGGCAGGCTTTTTCTTTTAACTTTTTATTATGGAAAATTCTCAAACATACACAGAATATTATATGTGTCATCCATATTGAGCCATTATCAAGATTGTCCACACTTGCTTTGTCTCCCAGCTTTCCCATTTTCTGAACTATTTTAATCATGTCATCATGTCATTTCAACCCTACATCTTTAAGTACACACCTCTAAAAAAGACTATAGGCATAATGTCATTATTATACCTACCAAAATTAAGATTAATTTATCTAAATTAATCAAAAACCTAGACCATGTCCAAATTTCTCAAGTGGCCTCAAAAAATCTATTTACATTTAGTTTTTCAAATTAATCCAAATTTCCACACTATGTGTGACTTTTTTTTAGAGGGGGTCCTGGGGATTGAACCCAGGGCCTTCATACTGAGCTATATCTCCAGCCCTTTTATATTTTGCATTTTGAGACAGGGTCTTGCTAAGTCACTAAGTTTCCAAGGCTCGAATTTGTGATCCTCTAAATATACCCACATTATAGATTTATCTGTTTGATTCCTTGTAATATCATTTAAATTGTTCTTGTTTTCCCCACATTGCCTAAAGGTGTGATTAGATGGGATTCAACTTTTTTATATAAAACAAAGAAATTGAGGAACACATTGTATCTGGAACTTCTCAGAGAACCAAGACTCTAGTCCACAGTTTACTTTTATATTCATCAAACTTTTTCATGGCCATGAAAACAGTAGGACACAGTGACATTGGGCCTAATTTTTAACCTCGTTCAGAGCAAACTTATTCCTTCTTTCAACAGGAAGTAGGTGCCTCTTACTCTTTCTGAGATCGTTTTCCTTGTCTTCACAGTGCTTTTCTGAATTGGGATCTCTGTACCGTGTTACCACCTATGCCTGACCCTACTCACCAAGTGTCAGAGAAAATCCCACTGGCAGACCCTGTTTCCCCAGCAGCTGCTTGCCTTCCAAGGACAAGGCATCTCCATAAGAGTGGCCTCTGTCCCTCAGACCAGGGACAGCTTTGCATGGCCAAGAAAGACACCTTAGCTCCAGGCACCTGCCTTTCCACGAGCCACAAGTCTGTCAACATCCAGGAAATGGAGAGAGTGGAGAAGCAGCTCTCTCAGATGGTGTCCCACGGCATAGCATCTCTGTGTCAACTACCTGACAAGCTAAAGCCAAGAGATGGACCAAAGACCCTCACCTCTACTACCCAGACCAGAAGGGCTAAGGGACTAGCAGACTGTGGCAACACACAAGCTGTGTCACAAAAAGAAGGGAACATTGGGGCCAACAAGGCTGCTAGGGGAACCAGTTATAGTTACTCTTATCCCCATGGACCCAAGCAAGCAGCTGGGCTTGGAAGAGTGGCCAAGACTTTTCAGACAGAATCCAAGCTACCTTTTCCAGGCAGGGAATCAAAAAGGCATCAGAGGGTACTGGCAGCAAGGGTCAGAGACATTGCCAAAAAGTACTGTCATTTACCTCATGGCCATCCTTGGAAGAGACACCACAGTGTATGTGATCCAGATACCACAGCTTCACATACAGATTCCAGTCCAAGGATGTATTGTGCAAGAGGAGATGATGATTTATCTGACACAGATAGCAGCTACTCGGTGGAGTCTCTCTCTTGTGTCTATGCCAAAATCTCACTGACAGAGCCGCTGACGCTGGAGGACCCGCCAGGAAAGTGGTACCTTCCAGAGTCAGAGAACTCTGAAAGTTACAACAGCCAAATATCTGAGGACTCATTGGTTGAGAGGGGAGACCAGAGCTTAAAGGGAGGCAGTCATGCCACCAATGAACTCAGCCACCCAAGGTCCAGAATTAAAGCCTCTGCAAGGGGCTTTCCCACACCCCCAGACAGTGGCCTGCTTGCCCGGGCTCATAGGAGCTTTTCCTTAGACAGCCTGGTTGATGCTGAGGAAGAATTGGAGGAAGATCACCAAGAGGAGCCTTTCCTTGGTTCAGCTGATGAGATGCCCACAGAGATATTTTGGCGCCTGCAGAACTCCATTCTGCCTGTAGTGGATCAGGAGGCAATGTGCAGACCTGGCCCCACCAGCCACAGAACTGGAGTGGGGCTGAATGCCATCCTGCCAGTGAGCAGCTTGTTTTACCTTAATCCTTGTTTCCAAGCTGATAAGTGGCCTGAGTCAGAGGTGGAGGCAAGCCATCCAGAACGAGCCAGCTCTCTCCAAGGTACACAGCTTTTGAGAGAGAGCTCTCTGGTGTCCATGGATTCCTGGTTTTCCTGTGACTCTAAGATCAATCCCAGCAGCCCCCCAGGAATAGAGGGTTCTTTATGTTTAAGGCCTGATGTCCAGGAAGTCCAGCCCTTTGATGAAGAGAGGCTTCCATACTTGCAAAATAGTAAAGAAGTAAAGCCAGTGGGCACAGAAGCAGTTCTGCCCCGTGGCTTGAAACTGCCCCAAGCCAGTACTGAACTACCCTGCAACACAGATGTGCGTACAACCTTTGCTTCCAATATTTCCAAGTTGTCACTTTGGGGAACTCAAAGGGTTCTTCAGCCAGGAGCTGATGACTTCTTTCAGGGGAGAAGTAGCCCTGACACAACCCAACGGGGAAACTCAGTAGTTTCTAATTCTATTGCGTTAAGTGAGCCTACTGCCTCTACCATGTCATTCACTCATGTGGGCAGCACCCATGAAGGGGACTGGGCTGCCCTTCAGCAGAAGTACCTCCTTGAAGTCTCTCATCCTGTCCTGGAGACTGTAGGACAGCCCAGGCCAGCCTTCCCCCTTGAGGAAGACTCTAGTTCCCCGGTCAAAAATTTTGGCAAAGGAAGAGATACCCAACTGCCAGTTGGTCCTGGGGTGTCTAGCAGTCTGAATTTTAACAACTTTCCGATCCATCTCTCCAAAACCAGGTGTTTGAGAGCAGAGAAAGAACAGGAAAGTTTGAGTGCCAAGTTGGAAAGTGCTTCAGATTTCTTTAGTACTAGTGAGAAAGAGGTTAGTTGTAATGGAGCTTATTCAGCTGACTTGGAATCACTGGCTTCTGGATCTACAAATGCACAGGATTGTGCCACAGAGAACAAGTTAACATATTCCTTAAAAGAAGCCAGTAAAGTCAGACAGAAGAGCATGGAAGAGTGCTGTCAGGGTAGCCGGAAACCTGGAGTGACAACTTCCTCTGATAAGTGTGTATTCCAGAAGAATGCTTGCTGCAGGAGTGTTACCCAGGCTACCAAAGCAGATCATTGGCCTCAAGGCTGGTCTCCTCTCAGGAAAAATAGTGCGGTTCACCAAGGACAAATAAGTCACAACTGCTACCCCCAACAGGAAGAGAAGGAAGATTGCCGGGAGAGCTCTAAGGAAGTAGTTGGAAGAAACACAGATGTTTCTTTTGCCCTTCCATCAGGTCCACAGCCATACTTCCACTCTGCTCCCTGGAATCCTTTTTCATCTTCCCTGCTGCAGCCACCTGTCTTGGAAACAGTCTGTGTGACCAAAAGCAGGGATGCCCTGACAGAAACTGCCTTAGAGATTCCAGCTTGCAGAGAAGTACGAGTGCCGTCCCCACCTCCCCGGGAACCCTGGGGCTTTAGTCATGACCACCACATCCTAAAGAAAACTAACTTGAAGAATAATTTGCCAGTGCTGTTACAAAACCAGAATTCCAAGTTTGCCTTTTCTCAACAGTCCACTGCAGAGAGGCCAGTTGATCAGAACACCGTGGAAGTTACTGGCGAGTTAGGGGAATGCACTGAAAATATTAAAGAAGAAAGGCATAATTCAGTTCATTTTCTTGTTGCTCAGAACAGATGTTTTCTTCCTTTTACTGGCACAGAAGTATGTGAGCTTGAAAAAGAAGTTAGAGTTTTAAATAAAAAGCACAGCTTTCCAGCACTTAATGAAAGAGAAAAGGCTCCTACACAGTCCTGTTGGAGTGTTTCCTTGGGCAACTCTGGACCTGAGAAGCCCTTCCTTTTCATCTGTGAGGCTGAGGCAGGTAGGAAAGAAGATCAGGCTCAGATCCAAGCCCATGACTTGAGCAGCCAGTTTCCTTCTGGACGAACATCTGATTTCATCTGTAAAACCACTGATTTAGGCCTTGAGAAGGACATGCCAGGGGAAACTGCTGCTTTTTTGAAGTCCAGATCAGAATGTCATAGAGTAAGCAGCCCCACAATCGTAGCCCAGGATGAGAGTTCAACCCACAAGTGGGAAGGGAGGAATGAAACTGGGTTCCTTGGAGAAACTGTCCATCCCAAAGACAGCCCCACAGAGCTTAAGGTTTCAGAGACAGAATGTACCTGTGAAAGAGTCCAGTCCGTTACATGCTATCAGGAAAGAAGCCCCAGAGAATGCCAGAGCCCTGGGGGATCACAAGAAATGTTAAACTCCAAAGAAGAACTTTTGGGAAAGAAACAGTATAAAGGAGTTAATAATACTGATGAAATGGCTAAGCTAATTAGGAGTGTCATGCAATTGGAAGATGGTATCTTAGAAATTGAATCCAAGCAAAATAAGCAGCTTCATGCTTCCCACACACCAAGAGTTAGTGAGGAGGTTATGTCCCAGGACCAGAAGGATCCAGAGAGAGCTGACCATGTCCCGAGGCCAAGAAGCTCTGGAAACCGTTTGTCCTGCAAGGATCAACCATCTTCTCCAAGACGGGCAGATGATGTTGACTTTAGGGATAGTGAAGCTGGAGGAATGAAGGCTAACAGAACCACTGGGAATGAGAACCAGCTCATCCAGAATGTCTCTCCAAGCCCCTTCAGATCAGGGGAATGTGTACAGGAGACTCAGTCTGTGGTAGACCATGCCCCGCCAGCTGTGTTAGACAGAACCCTCAGGGATACATGTGATTCTTTAGGGAAAGGCGCAGATTGCAAAGAGTCCACCAACACTGCTCTTCACCAAAGGAGAATGGAAGCACTGTCTAGAGCTCCATCCTTGCATCCCCGGGTGGAGAGTTGCGGGAAGGATGACAGGCTGGTACAAGCATCAGCAAACTTCCAAGAGCAGCCTTGGAGCTTGGGAAGTCTTGAAGAACTGGAGACCATGGAAGGTTTTCACGAAGGCCAAGTTGTTGAATTCATAAGTAGTTCCAAGCCAGAGGGGGCAAGAGCTCAAGGTGGAGTTGAAGGAGTGACCTTGGAAATGGGAGGAAGCTCACAGGACAAAAGTAATGTGGTCTCATTGACCCAGAGGCATCCTGATGCAAGCCAGCATTGTCTATGCACATATTTCAGCCAGGAGACTGTCTCCCCATTACTGAGCCAGACAGACTTCCTCAAAGTCCCTTCTAATCAAGACCTGAGCAATACCTGGTCCTTGCCTTCACCAAAGCTGCCAGGAAGCTGTCTGCATACCCCTGATATTATAGGCATTTCTTCAGTTGACCAAGTGCTGGATCCCACAATATTGAAAATTCCTGACAGTCCCTCAGAACATGGAGTACAGTATGACAGCCCGAGGAGAGAAGACAGAAGCCCCCATCTGCAGGGACACACTAGCGGAGGCTCCTCCATGGCATACACGGCCTGGTGCGGGAATGCGAGGCCCACTATCTTGGGATTGCATGGTCAGTCTGATGCAGCAAAGAGTGCTCCCCTGGGAACAGAAGAGAGGGTAACAGCAAGCATCAGCCCCCAGGACCAAGGAGGGGACCTCAGAATCACTTTCATGGGTTTGAGTGCTCAGGAAAGTTTTGGCAATGAAATTGAGGCAGCTGTACAAAAAAAAATACAAACTACTTCCTTGAATATGACTTCTAGGCAGCTTAAAAAAAGGGTCAGCTTCTCCTTAGAAGAGGATGGTGACCAAGGCAGAGGGGCAAGGCAGAAGACACAGGAGGAGGCCAAGGACCAAAGCCCTACCAGCAGTACTTGCTTGGTATCTGTTTCTCTGCCAAGGGCGCCTAATCCAGAGCCCAGGCTGTTGGAGATATCTGTCCATGTACCCAGTTGCCTGGCTATCTTGGAGGAGATCAGACTGGCAAAGGTCTGGAAAAAGTGGCCTAATGACTTTGGGACTGGGGTTGCAGTCCTTCCTTACTATGAAACTTCAGTAGAACCTGAATGTTCTTCAGGGGCTGCTGACAGGACTCACTGTGAGCAAATGGACCAGTTAATGCCAGGCAGGACCAGGGGTGAGGATGAAGCCCCAGAATTCGATGTTGCATCTCTCTCTGCTGCACCAGGACATCTGTTGGCTGACGGGAAGAAAGGCCAAGCCACACCTCTCTGTACAAATAGCTCTGGACCTCTGCTCGGCCCTGAAATGAACAGAGGGCCCCAGCCTTTTCCACAATCTTCCTCTCAAGCTGCACCTGCTCCAGGCACAAGATCCTGCACTGGAGACCTGAGCGATGTCCAGGGAGCAAGGAAAGAGTTTACAGATCACTCTAGTTCTTTTCAAATCACCGAAAAGAAGGAAGAAGTACCCAGAACACCTTCCTTTACTGGTCCTTTGATCTTAGACAGGCTTCTTCCTTCAAAAGCCGTGGAGGTGGACAGAATATTAAGATCAAAGAAAGCAGTGTATGCAGTATCTTCTCAGGCCCCTAAACATTCTGGGCCGATTCTGCATGGGCAGAGTCGTTTAGCCACGTGGCACACTGTAGAGGGGAAATCTCCTGGCAGTTGCACCAGCAACCCAGAGCACCAGGAGGCTGAGACTTTAGACACCACATATGGAGGAGGCTCAGGTAATTTTTTAGTGACTGCCTGGGGAGGAAAAACTGCCCACTTTGAAAATCAGTCTGTGATCTTTGGCGTTGAGAATTCTTTAAGCTTTTCAGGGCCTGAGCAAGATCACGTCCAATGCTCTGAGACTTTTACTGGCTTAGAAGAAGTGAGGGCAAGTCTAAAACAACAGGCTGTTCTGCCTGGAGCTCTGAGAAATGCTGATCTAGAAGCCCCCTCACAACAGTATGTGAACTGGAAGGAGAATGTTTGGGTCAGGACTGGGATCAGAAATCTCAGGCAACCTCTATTGCTAGATCAGAGACCTAGCCCAGACCCTGGGGGAGATGAGGCCCTGTGCAGAGGTCTGGAGGGAACCAGAGATTGCCTTGTCTTGTCTGGGACCACAGAAGGCAGCAGGGCTCTCAGTGCAGTGAGGGAGGCAGAAGAGAGCAGGATTCGCCGACACCTGTGCCATCCTCAGACCACTGCTACTTATGCCTGTTCCTCCCATTTTTCCACTCTGCTTTGTCACAGAGATGGTGACCTGGGGACGAATTCCAAGGCCACCCCATGTCCTGTCTACCCACCTTTCATTGTACTTTCCAGAGGCTGTGAAATGGGTGAGACAGAGACCTCCTCCAAGGAAGCTGATGTGCTCTTGGCACATGGCTGTGAGACCAGAGGCGTGGACCTTGGGCCAGTAGGCAGCGGCGTGCTTGAGCCCTCCACTGCAGCTGCTGTTAGACCACCCACTCGAGGCTGCAGCTCCCTCTGCACCTCCTATGTGAGGACACATTCCCTCACCCAGTCAGCTACAGATGGAAGCTTCAAGATTGTAAAGGGTACTGAGGAGGTTGCTGAGAGAAAAGCCAGCCCAGAACTTGAGGCTGTCCCTTGCCCTGCAGACCCTTACTCGGAGCCACTGAGGAACCTCAGGGATCACTCTGTAGGTGGCCACAGTGCACAGGTGTCTCAGACCAAGCCAGAACCATCTGCAGAAACTCAGGGACCACACACCCTGAGGTTAAGTGAAGGGTCTGTTGAGAGTGAGCATGGGTGCTTAGAAAATATCAGACACCTTTCAGAAAAGCCACGACCTTCCATCGAATCCAGGGATCCTCCAGCCAAGTTTTTAGCAAAACACATCTGTAGTCCTCGGGGTGGTAGCCCTTGGGAAGAGCAAGAACAGCAGAGAGACTGGGCTTCAGGAGGTGGCGAAGACCCTCCCCAGGGCAGGAATCCCCCACTTGCTGAGCAGGGTGGCTTGAATGGCTGTCACATTAGAGATGCCGAAAGACAGGAGGTGGCTGTGACCAAGTCTCCGGTGTCCCAGACTTTCTTAACAGGCTTTGAAGGGCCGGCTTCTGTGCCATTGGGGGACGGTGCAGTACCACATCCTGTTGACCAGAGGCCTGGCCAGCTTGACTCCAGTGCAGAGCAGTTGACTCCCCACCACAGGTGCTCACTTCCCATCATTACAGTCTTCTCTGGCCCCAAACACTCCAAGTCCAGCCCCAGACCCCAGTTTTCTGTGGTGAGCTCCTTTCGATCTCTTCAGGAGCTAAACACGAGAGTGGAGTCTCCTTCCCCTCCAGATGAGGACGCGCAGGGGCTTCACAGACTGTGGAACACACACCTCCGGGGCTACTCCACAGGAAAGATGGTGACAGGAACACCTCTGAAGACTGAGGACTGCAATCCAACAGCCTCATCTAACCAGAACGATGGCCCTACTGATCACATGACACTGAAACATGCCACCCCTCCTTACCCAGTGTCTTCCACAGTGTCTTGCATGCCAACCTCTGATTTCATGAACAGCTGGGTGTCTGGTACTTTGGCTCCACAAGGAAAGCCAGAGAAACTCGATGTCCAGGTCAGGCCAGAGAATGGACAGGAGGACAAAGGAATGTTGTACTTAGGCTCTGATGATATTAACCCCTGCATTGTGCCATGGTGTCCAGAGGGGCCTGTGCACATTGGCTGGAAGCATTGTGTGTTCGACAGGGCAGTTGATGACTCCTATAGCCAGAAAGCCCATGGTCCATTGCCATCAAATGCAGCCTGGCGCTCCAGCATGGACAACAGCTTGGGAGAGCAGAACTCCCCAGTTTACTCCTGTCTCAGCACTTATGCCCAAACCCAGGACCTGTCAAGCACACACGGCAGCACTGAGAATGTGCAGGGTTCAAATGAGACTTGGAACATAGAGGGTGCCTCATGTCCCTTGGGGGACCCCCACATCCTGAGTGGTCCTGACAAGATACCCCGGTTTAAGGGCCCCACTGATGAAGCAGGCTGTCTAAAGAGTGGGCTACCTTTGGCTGAAGGAAATTCTGTAGGTGCAGTGGATGAGATTGTACTGCTGTGTCCGTCTGAGTCTGGCTGCCCTCTGGCACAGGGCAAGACAGACACTTATGAGCAGGGCACACAGACCCTGGGCTGCCAGCTCCACCAGAGTGGTGCTGATGTCTCCTCTGCTCAGCCTGACACCAGTGTGGCACCACCCTGTGGCCTGGCCTCCTGGGCCAGCATGCACAGCCTGTCTCTCCACCCCTCACAGCTCCTGCACAGCACCTCAGAGCTGCTTGGAAGTCTCTCCCAGCCAGGTGTGACCAAGGAGCAGAACACCAAGAGGGACCCCACAGGTGGGGCCCTACAGGCCCTCAGGATGGACAGTGCGACTCAGACCAGTGTGGAAAAGGGCAGCCAGACTGACCTGTCCTTACCCCCTCTATACTTCCAGGGCCCAGAGGCCAAACCTCAGGAAGTCAGTGTGATCCTTGAAGTGCTGAGCTCAGATACCACACCTGTGTCTCAAGAAAAGGGAGGTGTCATAGGAGACCTTGAGAGAGAGGAAGAGGAGATGGCATGGAAAGCCATCGTGCCTTCAGATCTTCATAAAGAAAGTGCTCACTGTAGACAGAGAAGCTCTCCAGTGTCTTCATCCCACTTGAGGTTTCAGAAAGCCCTTCGAGAGCAGAACCTCCCTTCTGGGAGTCCCCCAGGTTCTCTTGATGCCTCCCCACTTCCCAGGTCCCATCCAGGGGACTCCTCTTGTGTGGTTGTCAACAGCCCCAGCCTTGGCATGTGTCATACCCCAGCGCCCTTACCCAGGGCCTCAGAACCCAACCTGGAGCCTCAGGTCCAGAGGAAGCCGAGTCCCACGAGTGCCTCGTTGGTGGACAGGGCCTCCTCCCCAATCCTCACACTTAGTGCCAACATCCAAGAGGTGGGTCTTCCCCCAGGCTTTTTGACTCTCTCAGCTCCCTCAGCCCACCCTCTCAAAGGTCACCCAAAGCTTGACTTCAGCCCAAAGCCTCCAGCAGATAATTGTTCTCAAACCACTCATGAGCCAATAGAGGCTCTGGATCAGGGGGTCAGTAGGAAGTCATTCCTGGAGTTAAGCCTCCCATGCAGCCCACCACAGAGCCCTAGCGTCCAAGTTAGCTGCTTGGGGCAGCCTCTTCAGCAGCCTCAGCCCAGGACCACCACTGGGGCCCAGAGCAGCCCACCGCTTCCACCCCGAAGGCACTGGAGCTGGAGGCAGGCTGACAGCTGTGTGTCTGAGGGGGTGACTTCCCCAGAGCACGGCCCACTGAACAGTCGGGTGCCAGGTCAGTGGCAGAGCAGGCTTGAAAACGAAGATGAGAGTTCAGGACCTCCAGTGGAGCCACAACTCACTGCGGACCTCTCCTCATCATGGAAAGGGCCTCAACACCTCAGCCCCTTCCTTGGTGCTGAGCTGACTGACCCTGCAGGTACTCGAGGTTCCACTGCTTGTTCACCTCAGGCCTGCCAACCTCAGGGAGTTTGTTCCAGTTCCCAGATGTGCATGAGCCCTGAAGCCCAGCATTGCAACCTAAGGGACCCCCCGGTGCATAACAAACGTAGTAACTGGTGTGGGGTTCAGTGTGGCTCTCCTGGAGGGCTGGTTGTGAGTGAGGATCTGGAAGCCAGCTCTGATCTCAGCTCTGGAGAGCAGAGGCAGGGCCTCCCACAACCTGGTGACCAGAGCCTGTATCCTGAGTGGGCCCCAAGGGAGCAGGTCTCCCTGCAAGTTGGGGCCCAGAATACCCTACTCAGTGTAGAGCTCACAGAAGCGAAACTGCACCATGGTTTCGGGGAGGCAGATGCCCTGCTGCAGGTGCTACAGCAGGGGACAGGTGCGGCATTTGTTCCAGATGAGGCTGCAGTGTCCTCCTGGGAGCAACACCATGCTCGGTAAGGGCTCCTGCTGGGGGAGAGCCAGGGGCAGGGGAAGGTGAGGGGGAAGAGAACTTAGGAAAGCTGACAGCAGCTGTTCCTTCTGGCCTTGCTCATCTCTGACATCTAGGAGTTGGAGGTAGAACTCAGGTGCGGGGACTCGGCCAGTTCAGTGAATTGATCATGTTTTGTCACAGGCAAAGACAAGCCATCAAGATCCTCAAGAGAGAGCAGGCTGAGCGACTTCAGAACTTCCCTCGGACACGAAGCCTGAGCCTCCAGAAAAAACTGAGCCTCCTGTCTAACAGGACTTTCCCCTCCTGGCACCTGGACTTGCCCAGCAAGCGCCGAGAATACCTGCAGCAACTGAGGAAGGATGTTGTGGAGATCACCAGGTAACAGGGGACCCAGAACCTGTAGGAAGGGGCTCTGTGGTTTAGGAGGGGGCCGGGGTGGGGACTGGGGCTGGAGGTGTTGTCCCAGAGGCTCTTCTGTGCCTGTGGACAGTGGAGGTGGGCGTGACAGACTGGGGCCAAGGGAAAGAAGCGGAGGCGAGAGGACTGGAGTGAGGAGGTCTGGGAAGGACAGAGGGGCTGGGAGTGGCCTGTGGGGCAGGCAGGGCTGACTCCCATCTACTGTATTGGAAACTATCTTTCCTCCCTGTGATTTCTGTAGGAGCCCAGAGTCAGCACTGAATTCTGCCAAACCGCATTCTGACATCGAGCGAATGCTGCGTGACTATCAGCAGGCCCGAGAGGAGGCCAAGGTGGAGATTGAACGGGCACAGGAGAGGCTTCAGGAGCAGACTACACAGGAGAAGCTTCGGATCTGCCAGAAGATCATCTCCCAGCTGCTGAGGGTGAGGAGTGGGCTGAGCCTGGATAGACCTGGGGCTGTGCTCTGAGGAGGGCATGACAGCCCTGGTGCCAGCCTTAAGGCTGGGCCTACTATCCCTCTATGCCCTCATCAGACCAACTCTGTCCCCACGTCCAAGTCTGAGAGCAAGAGGCTGTAGTGTATAGTGCGGCATAGGGTATGGGAGGCACCAGGAGGCCAGAGGTGAGTTAGGGTCTTGTGGATGCCTCAGAAGCTGGCTGATGATGACCTGTTCTTCCCAGGAAGAAGAAAAACTGCTCACCCTGGCCAGCTCCAGTTCCCCGTGCACTAGCTCCAGTGGAAGCCTCTCCTCTGGTGTGACCTCTGGTTACAATAGCAGCCGAGCCTTGTCAGGCCAGCTCCAGCCCCCAGAGAGTGCGGTGAGTGGACAAATGCTATGAATAAGCCCAGGGCCAGCACAGCTGAGACAGGAGCCTCAGCAAGACCTGTGCTTCCTGGGGCCACTGCTGGCAGGAGCCCTTGAGATTCACTTCCCTCTACCTCTGCTTTGCCATTCTTGTAAGTGCTTATTTTGTAGGATACAGAAGTGAGTATTAGAAAAATATTAGTGAGCTTATTTATGATTAAGTTGCAATAAATTATTTGGAGAAGGGGCACTAAAGCCTGCATAAACTGGGGCTGGTGTCCTTCAGGGTCAGTAGAGTCTCTGGAGAGACAGTGCTTAGGTTAAGTCTGGAAGGAGAAGAGGACAGATGTGGTCCCCTTGAGGAGGGGTCATTGAAGAGTGAAAGGAAGCTCCCAGCACTCTGGGAGACTGAGGCAGGAGGATCACAGATTCAGACCCAGCCTGGGCAGTCTAGCAATTTAGTGAGACCTTGTCTCAAAATAAAACATACGAGGGGATGTAACTCAGTGTGAAGGCCCTGTGTTCAATTGCAAGAAACCCCCCCTCCAAATGCACTGTATGAAAAGACCACTTTTTATCGATCTGTTCAGTAGCTGATGGACATTTAAGTTGTGTCTCTTTTGGCACTTACTAATAATGCTGCCTTGCCCCTTTACTAGTTTGTAGAAAGATCTAATGCCTTCTTTTGCTTTATGATAAATAAAAATATGCTTTAGAAATAAAGCTAATTTAATGGCTGAACAGGCTTTTTTGTCAATATATGTTTTAATTTTTCTTGGGTGTGTACCTAGAAGTGAACTTTGGGTCATAGAGGAAAGGACAGACTGTTTTTGAAAATGGATGTGTTTTTTACATGCCCACCAGCAGCATAATGCTTCTTTATCACCAGCACTTGCTGTTACTGTTCATCCTCTGTATCCATACGTTCCACACCTTCAGATTTAACCAATCATCTGTGGAAAATATCTCAAGGTGTACCCATTTAGCTATAAATGTATCTAGTTTATCATTCTTTATGGCTGAATAGTACTCCATTGTATAAAAAAAAACCCCACATCGTCTTTATCCATATGTCAGTTGATGTGCTTTTGAGGTGTTTCTAAGAATTAGCTATTACAAGAAAAAAAAAAAAAAAAAGAATTAGCTATTACAGACTGTGCTGCTATAAACATGGGTGTGCATATTCCCCAGGAAGGAGAATAGGTGGGTGAAATGGAATCTCTAGTTTTAGTTTTTTGAGAAATCTCCACACTGATGTCCACCATGGTTGCACCAGTCTACACTCTCCCCAACAGTGGAGAAGCGTTCCTTTTTCCCCACAGCCCCTTCAGCATTTGTTATTGGTTTATTTCTTAATAGTAGCCATTCTTTCTGGGTGAGATGGAATCTCAGCATTGCTTTATTTGCATCTCTTGAATGACCAGTGATGTTGAACATTTTTTTCAGCTGTTTCTACTTCTTCATCTGAGAAGTGTGTATTCATTTCAGAGGCCCATTTTTGGATTGGGTCTTTAAATTTGGGGGGTCTGATTTTTTGAGTTCTTTATAGATTCCAGATATTAGTCCTTTGTCTAAGGAATAGCTGGCAAAAATTTTTTCCCACACTGTGAGTTGTCTATTCACTCTGTTGGTGATTTTTCTTGCTGTGCACAGGCTTTTTGATAAGATGAGATCCCAGTTGTTGGTTCTTTGTGATAGTTCTTGTGCAGTCAGGGTTTTGTTCATAAAATTTTTGTCCATGCCAGTGTCTTCAAGAATTCTACCTAATCTGTCTTCCAGTAGATGTACTGTTTCTGTTTTAATATTTAGATCTTTGATCTATTTTGATTTTAGGTTAGTGCATGGTGAAAGATAGGGGTTTAGTTTTAATCTTTGACAAATTGAAACCCAGTTTTTCCAGCACCATTTATTAAAGAGGCTATCTTTCTTCCAGTGGAGGTGTTTGGCTCCTTTGTCAAAGATAAGGTGGCTGTGTATGACTAGAGTTGTTTCTTCATCTTCTAATCTGTTCCACTAATGGTAGGATCTGGGTTTTTTTTTGCCAGTACCATGCTGTTTTTATCATAGTAGCTTTGAAGTATACTTTAAAGTTAGGTATTGTGAGCCCCCTCCTGCCTTTGTTGCCTAGAGTTGCCTTTGCTATTTTAGATCTCTTCTGGTTCCAAATGAATTTCAGTATAATTTTTTCTAATTCTGTGAGATATGCTGTTGGACTTCTGATTGGGATCTAATTTAAATCTGTATGACAGTTTTGGAAGTATGGCTATTTTCACTATATTGGTTCTTCCTACCCAAGAACAAGGGATCTCTTTCCATTTTCTGATATCTTTCATCTCTCTTTTCAGAGTACTATAGTTTTCAATGGAGAGATCTCTTACTTGCTTGGTTGGATTGATTCCTAGGTATTTCATTTTTTTGGTTGGTATTGTGAAAGGTATTGTTTCCCTAATTTTTCTCTCAGTGAGTTTGTTATTAGTAGGCAGGAAAAGTATTGATTTTTGAGTGTTGACTTTGTATCCAGCCACGCTACTGAATTTGGTTAAGTCTAGAAGTCTCTTGATGGAGCTTTTTGAGACTTTTATGTAGAGTATCATGTCATCTGCAAATAATGATAATTTAACTTCTTCCTTTCCTATCCTTATCCCTTTTATTTCTTTCTCTTGTCTGATTGCTCTGACTAATGTTTCCAGAACTATATGGAACAAAGAATGGTGGCAGTGAACATCCTTGTCTTGTTCCTGATTTTAGAGTGAAAGCTTTCAGTTTTTGTCTATTTCGTATGATGTTGCCTATTGGTTTGGCATAGATGGCTTTTATCAGGTAAAGACCATCTTTTCAGATTTTCTGTAGGGGTTTCATTGTGAATGGGGGTTAGACTTTGTCAAATGCTTTTACTGCATCTATTGAGATGATCATACGGTTTTTGTCCTTGACTGAGTTGATGTAGTATATTACATATTTGACTTGCATATGTTGAACCATCCCTGCATCCCTGGGATGAATCCTACTTGGTCATGGTGTATAACCTTGATGATTTGCTACATTCTGTTTGCCAGTATTTTTTTTTTTTTTTTTTTTGGTACCAGGGATAGAACTTGAGACCTTGTGCTTGTTAGGGAACCACTGAGCTAAATCCCCAGCCCTGTTTTCCAGTATCTTATGGAAGATTTTTGCATCTGTGTTCTTTAAGGAGATTGGCCTGTCGTTTTCTTTTTTGGTTGGATCCTTCTCTGGTTTTGGAGTCAAGATAATGCTTACTTCCCGGAATGAATTTGGGAGTATCGCTTCGCTTTCAATTTTATTAAAGAGTTTGAGAAGTAGCAGCATTAGTTCTCCTCTAAATTTCTTGTATAATTCAGCAGTGAATCTGTCAGAGCCTGGGCTTCTCTTTGTTGGTAGGTTTTTAATTACATGTTCAATTTCTTTGCTGGCGATTTAGCTCAGTGGTTCTGCTGCCTGCCTCGCAAGCACAAGGTCTCAAGTTCGATCCCCAGTACCAAAAAAAAAAATACACACACACACACACACACACACACACACACACACACACGCACACATTCAGTTTCATTGAATGATATTGGTTTATTTAGAATTTCAATATCTCCTTGATTCAGCTTTTGTTATTCATATGTATCTAGGAATCTGTCCATTTCTTCTGTGTTTTCCATCTTTTTAGAATACAGGTTTTTTTTTTTTTTTAATTCTTTTATCAGTACATTTTAGGTATACAGTACGTTTACATTTATCATTGGGTGCTTGTACCTGTACATGATGTATCTTGGTTCTTATTTTTTTCCCCATTACCTGTGCACCCTTCACCCCCTCCACCCTTCTCTATTTACGTAGATTTCATTTCCATTTTTTTTTTCTTTTCTCATAATTTTTCCTTTCCCTTCTTCCCTTTCCACCACCCCTACACCTTTGGACCTTTTCCTATTTCAAATTATCAATTACTCATTTTAATCCTTATTTACACTTTCAGTTTCTCACACTAGAGAAACTATTTGGTATTTACACTTGTGACCTATTTATTTCACTTAAGCGTATGGCCTCAATATGCATCCATTTAGCTATAAATATCTCTAGTTTCTTGTTCTTTATGGCTGAGTAGTACTCCGTTTTATTAAAAAACCACATCTTCTTTATCCAGTCTCCAGTTGATGGGCACTTGGGCTGTTTCCAGGCTTTAGCTATTACAAACTGCTGCTATGAACATGGGTGCACATATATCACTGTGATATGATTCTTTTAAGAATACAAGTTTTTGAAGTAGGTATTGATCTTCTGGATTTCTGAAGGATGTGTTGTGATTTCACCCTTTTCATTTTTAATTGCATGGATTTGAGTATTTTCTTTCCTTTTCTTGATAAGGTTAGCTAAATGTCAGTTTTATTTAATCTTTCAATGAAACAACTCTTTGATTTGATTCTTCGTGTCATTTTCTTAGTCTCCTATGCATTAATTCCTGTTCTGATCTTCATAATTTCCTCCCTTGTATGAGCTTGGGGCTTGGGTTGCTTTTCTTTTTCTAGAAGCTTGAACTTCACCATTAGGTTATTTGAGATCACTGTTTTCCTGAGATGAGTATTCACTGCTATAAATTTCCCTTGTAGGACTGCTTTCATTGTGTCCCATGAATTGAGATACGTTGTATTGGCATTATCATTTAATTGTAGAAACTGTCTAATTTCTTTTTTAATTTCCTCTGTGAACCACTGGTTGTTCAGGAGAGTGTTAATTTCCGTGTGTTTGTGAAGTTCTTGTAGTTTGTTTTGCTACCGATTTCCAGTTTCATTGCACTATGGTCTGCATGGGATAATTTAACTTCCTTTGCATTTACTTAGGGATGTTCTATGAGCTAGCATGTGGTCTATTTTGGAGAATATCCCATGTTTAGCTGAGAAGAATGTGTATTCTTATGTTGTGGGGTGGAACACTGTAGACATCTATCTACTAAGTCCATCTGTTCAAATGTTTGGTTCAGTTATAATATTTCATTTTTTTTTTGTCTAG